CCTGGGTTCAAGGGATTCTCCTGCCTCAGCCTCCTGAGTAGCTGGGATTACAGATGTGTGCCAATATGCTCTGCTAATTTTTATATTTTTGGTAGACGGGGTTTCAGTGTTGGCCAGGTTGGTCTCGAACTCCTGAACTTGTGGTCCGCCTGCCTCAGCCTCCCAAAGTGTGGGGATTACAGGCGTGAGACACTGAGCCTGGCTAAAAATCTTTAGCTGCTTAATTCCTTTTTTATGGTCAGCTTTTGTCTACCCTCATAGAGCCTTGCCAATGCACTGTGTACATTACACAAAGGAGCCCCTGCTACTGGGGGCCCTGAGAGGACACTATAGGGACCAGGCAGGGCCATGAGGCCAGCACCCCTGGTACTGGATAGGATTCCCTCTTGGAGCGAGGGCTTCCCATGAGTCACCAAGGGGGCAAAATTCCCTTCTTTTGAGCACATCATGATGTGCCTTGGGAAGCACTGTTACCAGCATTCTAGAAGGGAGCCGTGAGATCAAGGGAGGCCAGCCTCTGGCTACTACTTATTTTGCTTTTCATTTATACTTGTACCTCTTAAGATTCTCTGCCGTGGAATGTCAAGCTTCACATCTCGTCATGATGAAAGTAGCTCAGTGTGGGCACAGTCATCTCTAAGCCAAACGCTGACTTTTCCCTTTTCCCGCGCCCTTGCACACTCGCAGCAGCATGCCCTTGGTTGCTTCCCTCCCGCATCTCTTACTGAAATGAGATCTTCATTGTTGGGGTGGGGCCTGGTGGGAGGTGTCTGGGTCATGGGGCGGATCCCTCAGGAATGGCGTGGTATCCCCTGGCAGGAATGAGTGTGTTCTCACTCTATGACCTGGTTGTTTCAAACAGCCTGGTCCTCCTGTTCTCTCTTGCACCATCTCTCGCTATGGGACATGCCCGCTTTCCCTTCACCTTCCACCATGAGTAAAACCTTCCTGAGGCCTCCCCAAAAGCAGACGCAGGCACCATGCTTCTTGTCCAATCGGCAGAAACGTGAGCCAAATAAATATTTTTTCTTAAACAAATTAGCCAGCCTCAGGTATTCCTTTATTGCAACACAAAACAGACCGAAGCAACCTCCTTTGCAGAAGTATTGCAACGTTCAGAAACGGTTTTCTCTCACCTCCCACTAAATAGTTCTTCTTGGTTCTAGGTTGTATAGAATGGTTCAATTTAAGAAGCCCAAGAATCTAAGATTTTGCCTAAAAAAAAAACTAATCAAATGAAGAATTCACTCATATTTTTCTACCAAAATTGAAATACTACGAGGAAACAAAACCAAAACCACATTCAGTTATTTTATTTAATTTTCTAGTGGACAATTTACATATCTCCCTCACCCTGTCTTTTAAGTTAGTGTGACAATTTTCCATAATAAACTACTTAAAGAGAAGCTTTGGTCAAGAATGGAATGAAATTGCAAAAAAAAAAAAAAACAACAAAAAAAATCACTGCTTTTAAAAAACCAACACTTTCACCAATTTTATATTCAAACAAAACCACAAGGTATTGGCGTGATATGTGTTTTCAGTGTTTCCTCGGGGCTGGCTTCCTCACCATCGTGCCACGGCACAGCTGCGGTCAGCCACAGTTTGTCATGCTGGACGGCGGAGGCTCACTCAGCTTCACATTATCCGGAGGCCCTGGATGGAAGACTCGAGGGTCTTGGAAAAGGTGGGAAGAGCACTGATGTCACTGAGGAGTGTCCACCGTGAGGTTCTCCCCACGCTAGGTATTATATCACTCCCTCCTCATCAGGGGAGGTTTGGCCTGTCCCCACCCTGAACCTGGCCCTGCCACCTGAGACAGGCTCTCCCAGGACTAAACCTGCAGAGATGCTCCAGGCCCGGTATCCCTTGTCCCCACTGACCCCACTCACAGGCTCTGGGCACACTCCTCTCCTCTTTTTTTTTTTTTTGAGACAGGGTCTTGTTCTATTGCCATATTGCCACAGGCTGGAGTGCAGTGGTGTGACTGTAGCTCACTGCGGCCTCCAACTTCTGGGCTCAAGTGATCCTCCTGTTTCAGCCTTTCAAGTAGCTGAGACTAAAGGCACACATCACTGCACCTAGCTTATATATATTTGAGACGGAGTCTCGCTCTATCACCCAGGCTGGAGTGCAGTGGTGCGATCTCGGCTCACTGCAACCTCCGCCTTCCGGGGTCAAGTGATTCTCCTGCCTCAGCCTCCTCAGTAGGTGGTACTATAGGCTGGTGCCACCATGCCCAGCTAATTTCTGTATTTTTGGTACAGATGGGGTTTCACCATATTGGTCAGGATGGTCTTGAACTCCTGACCTTGTGATCCACCGGCCTTGGTCTCCCAAAGTGCTGGGATTACAGGCGTGAGCCATCATGCCTGGCCCATTATATATATTTTTAAATAAAGACAGGGTCTCACTATTTTCTCAGGCTGGTCTCGAACTCCTGCACTCAAGACAGGGAAGGAGGGAGACGAAGTGAGCCTCGGCCTCCTAAAGTGCTGGGATTACAGGTGTGGATCAGCATGCCTGGCTACACCTGGCTTTTTTATAGAGATGAGGTCACGCTATATTGCCCAAGCTGGTCTCAAACTCCTGGCCTCAAGCGATTCTCCCATTTTGGCCTCCCAAAGTGCTGGGATGACAGGCATGAGCCACTGCGCCCGGCCCACAACTCTTTTTTCTAGTTCCATCCCATGCTTCTGTAGGACCACACCATGGGCAGTGCCTCAAAGGCAGTGTACGCTCTCTGAAGCCCAGGCTGGCCTGGCTGTGCTGTGCCTGCAGCTTAGGATGCTCGCCTGTGCTTTCTCAACTCATAGTCCCCTCCCCTCCAAAATCCATGGCAGCTCAAGATGCCGCTCAAGTACAACCTTTTCCCTGCAGCGCAAGCAGTCCACACGTATTCCCAGACTCCTCTGTATGAAAACAGGCACTGGCTTCTCTTCTGAGCTCTGCCAAATCCCCTGCCCAGCCCCTGTATCCACCTCTCTCTTCTACCAGACAGGCTAGTTAAGTGTCCAGCACCATGCATGGGAACCAGCAGATACTTAGTAAATGTTTATTAAATTAATTAGTGTAAGCCATAAATATATATCTACATAGTTAAATCTGGGCTGGCGTCCAATAGGGCCTGCTTCTAAAACAGCACTCCATTTTTCCTCAGTGAATGAACGGACATCTAGAAGCAAACATTTCATCTCACTGAGAATGTACTGTTCTTCTGTGGATGACTTAGGTTGTAAACAGATCTCCGGCTGGGCGTGGTGGCTCATGCCTCTAATCCCAAGCACTTTGGAAGGCCGACGTGGGCGGCTCACCAGAGGTCAGGAGTTCAAGACCAGCCTGATCAACATGGAGAAACACTGTTTCTGCTAAAAATACAAAATTAGCCCAGTGTGGTGGTACATGCCTGTAATCCCACCTACTCGGGAGGCTGGAGACAGGAGAATCACTTGAACCTGCGAGGTGGAGGTTGTGGTTAGCCGAGATGGCACCATTGTACTCCAGCCTGGGCAACAAGAGTGAAACTCTGTCTCAAAAAAAAAAAAGAGAAAGATCTCCAGGGCTGGGCACAGTGGCTCACACCTGTAATCCCAACACTCTGTGAGGCCAAGGCAGGCAGATCACATGAGTCCAGGAGTTCGAGACCAGCCTGGCCAACATGGTGAAACCCCGCCTCTGCTAAAAATACAAAAAATAGCTGGGCATTGTAGTGTGCTCCTGTAATCCCTGCTACTTGTGAGGCTGAAGCAAGAGAATCACTTGAACCCACGAGGCAGAGGTTGCAGTGAGCCAATATTGCACTAATGACTGCACTGCAGCCTGGGTGACACAGCGAGACTCCATCTAAAAAAGAAAGAAAGAAGAAAAAAAAAAGATTTCCAGTTTAATGTCTTACATTAGGACATTAAACTGTGTACTAGATTTAACATTTTGTTTCAAGAAATGAGAAACATTCTTTGCACAAGAGTTTTGTAAAAATACTAGCGGGGGATGATGGTGCATGCCTGTTGTCCCAGCTACTTGGGAGGCTGAGGTGGGAGGGCTGATGGAGGCAAGGAGTTGGTGGTTGCCGTGAGCCATGATTTCACCACTGTACTCCAGCCTGGGGACAGAGAAGGAGCCTACCTCTTAAAAAAAAAAAGTTTTAACAAACAAACAAGATTTGTTCTCTTAGGTAGAAAATACCTTGAAATCCCAAATTGTCATGGCTCCATCGATGCCAGTAGTGCAAAATTTGCGACAATCTTGCTTATCCACCTCGTAAATAGAGACTTGACTGAAAAAAAAAAAAAAAAACAAAAAAAAAGAGATTGTAAGGTATGTAGTGGAAGTGAACACAATATTCCTGACTAATAGTGTAAGGGCAGTTTAAGGACATGAATTAAATTCCTCTTCATTTTTTAAATAAAGATGGGATGGGGGTCTCATTATGTTGCCCAAGTTGGTCTTGAACTCCTGGGCTCAAGTAATCCTTCTGCTTAGGCTTCCCAACGTGCTGGAATTACAAGTGTGAGCCACCATGCCCAACCAGGAAATGAATTATCTTTTAACCCCTGAATATAAACTTGTCCACCAACATTAGGCTACAACAATCTGGCTCAGAAAATACCCAAAAGCATTTTATTACCAGATATCCAGGAAAGACAAAAGTGGAAAGAAGAGAAGTTAGGAACCTGCCTTACTTAGAGTAAGCTGGGGGAGCAGGCTGTTGGCAGGACACACCACGGAGAAAACGGTTTTTGTTAGTTTTAAAATAAACTAGAGGCACGACAAATCCACCTGGCTCCAAACAAAACCTCTCAAAAAACCCTCCAACACAGCCAGTGCAGATAAGCTAACGGCCCTCCTCGAGTTTCAAATTAATCATTATAAATATTAGCAGCAGACATACCACCAGATTCCAACCAAGCCAAGAGGGGGAACAGATAAATGAAACAACTTGTCTTAGCCTAATTATCTGGAAAGCTTTCTAGACAATCACCCATTGCTCAGACAATATTTTTCTTTCTCCTCTGAACTGTCTAGAACTTACCTCCCTCTTCCCCCACGCTGGGAAAGGGATGGCAAACTATGGCACACACTGCCTATTCCTGTACAGCCTGTGAGCTTAAAAAAAAAAAAAAAAAAAAAAGTTTTTCATTTTTACTCATTTATTTACTTTTTGAGATGAAGTCATATTCTGTTGCCCAGGCTGGAGTGCAGTGGCATGATCTCGGCTCACTGCAACTTCTGCCTCCTGGGTTCAAGCGATTCTCCTGCCTCCGCCTCCTGAGTAGCTGGGATTACAGGTGCATGCCAACATGCCTGGCTAATTTTTGCATTTTTAGCAGAGACAGGATTTCGCCATGTTGGTCAGGCTGGTCTCGAATTCCTGACCTCAAGTGATCTGCCTGCTTCAGCCTCCCAATGTGCTGGGATTACAGGCATGAGCCACCGTACCCGACCTGGCTTTTATATTTTTAAATAGCTGGAAAAAAATTAAAAGAAGACTATTATCTCATGAAGTAAAAATTATGTGAAATTCCAACCTGAGTGTCCATAAAGTGTAACTGTTACACAGCCAGCTCATTCGTTTACATCGTCTGTACCTGCTTTCCTGCCACAACCACAGAGTTCAGTAGTTGCAACAGAGACCTATGGCCTCTCAGAGCCTAAAATATTTACTATCTGTTCCCTTACAGAAAAAGTTAGCTGACACAGCTCAAGCACAAAGAGCACCTAATTTCTGCAAATAAAAGTATACTAATAGGCAAGGGTCTTCTTTTCATTTTTCACCTAGAAATGTCAGAGAGGCAATGAGAGCTGTTTCTTTCCTAACACTTAGTCTGCATAGAAGCTTAAGAGAAATTCACAAGAAATAACTTGGAGTCATTCAAGACAGAGAAACCTGAAGAATGGAGAAAAGGCAAGTTTTGCTATAGATAGAGAAACCTGAAGAATGTGGAGAAAAGGGAAGTTTTGCTATGCCTTCAGGTTCTTTTTTTTTTTTTTTTGAGATAGGATCTTGCAGCATAGCCCAGGCTGAAGTACACTGGCACAATCACAGCTCACTCCTCCCAAGTAGCTGGGACTACAGGTGCGTGCCAACACAGATGGCTAACTAAAAAATTTTTTTGCAGATATGGGGTCTTGCTATGTTGCCCAGGATGGTACTGAACTGCTGGCTCAAGCGATCTTTCTGCCTTGGTTTCCCAAAGTGCTGGGATTACAGGTATGAGCTATGGTGCCAGCCCTCTGGTTTTGATTTTTCAATAGAGCACAGACATTTGCAGCCTATTTATGTACAGCTGCCTCTTCTGCTGAACATGAAGCACAACCTGCATTTCATCGTAATTCTCTCAAATAGGAAGTCTAGAGGTTTCCATTATCCCTCCCTCCATCAATACCACAATAAAAGTCTCTCAACACAAAAGCCTTCTCAATAAGGGAAAAATGCCATGGGACCCAATTTCAAACACAGTAATTTAGAACATCAAAAATATATTTCTCATCCAGACTTTTTTTTTTTTTGGCGGAGGGAATGAAGTCTCGTTCTGTCACCCAGGCTGGAGTGCAGTGGCTCAATCTTGGCTCACTGCAACCTCCGCCTCCCAGTTCAAGCGATTCTCCTGACTCAGCCTCCTGAGTAGCTAGAATTACACGTGTCACCAACATGCCTGGCTAATTTTTGTATTTTTAGTAGAGATGGGGTTTCACCATGTTGGCCAGGCTGGTCTCAAACTCCTGTGGTCTGCCTGCCTCAACTTCCCAAAGTGCTGGGATTACAGATGTGAGCCACCATGCCCAGCCTCTCCTCTAGACCTTAAAAATAGAACTTTCTAAACAAAACACAATTCTGTTGTCTTACATAATTACATATGTCTGGTGAAAAGCCAGTCCAGGCACTTATCACCTTTGTCATCGTGATGCTAAGAAATTCTGTTTCTTTAATTAAAAAATCTTACTTGTATCCATTACTTGAAACCTTTTCAAACAGGCTGTAACTTCGCTTTCTATTATATGTGCACTACTATGAGAAGGCAGCATTCAGGAAGGTCTCCTTTTGTTCTCAATTGAGCTGCTGAGAAAGTGTGCCCTAGGAAGCTGCTGCCCTGAGGCCCCACCACCATAGTTTGCAACAGGGTCTGTATAGCTCCTGCTGGCTGCTATCTTGTAATCTGCAGTTTGAAGGACAGAATGACCAGGTGGTGGCGTCACTCCCTATAACAAGCTGGAAATAAGAGCCTGGCGGTCAGGAAGATACAGATTTTTGCTGCGCTTTGCCCTGAGGGAATGTCTGGGCCTTCAGGGCAGAGAGCTTTTGTAGGAACCCAGGAAGGAAACAGCGAGGGGCAGGAAGGCACCTTGTCACCTGACCACCTCTACAGACGGCACCTACGTGATGCTATTCTGGTGCAGTGTTTCCAAGGCCGTGTTGCGGTCCTCAGTTGTGGCCCTCTTGTCCATGTTGCGGAAGCGTTCCATGGCAGACATGTTGCGTTGGATGCTCTGTTTTGGAATGTCTAGCTTGGAGACGAAGGTCAGGCAGCCACGGTCATCATAGTTAAAGAGCATTGGGCAGCAGTCATGGCCCTGAAACAAGACTCACAGTCAGTCCCTGGAGGGCACACTGCCCACCATCCACCTCCCCGACAGTGTTCACCATGACAGCCCTCCCTTACTTTCTTTTTTGTTTTTTTGAGACAGAGTCTTGCTACGTTGCCCAAGCTGGAGTGCAGTGGAGCAATCTCAGCTCACTGCAACCTCTGCTTCCCAGGTTCAAGCGATTCTCCTGCCTCAGACTTCCAAGTAGCTGGGATTATAGGCACACACCACCATGCCTGGGTAATTTTTGTATTTTTAGTAGAGACGGGGTTTCACTTTGTTGGCCAGGCTGGTCTCGAACTCCTGACCTCAAGTGAACCACCTGCCTTGGCCTCCCAAAGTGCTGGGATTACAGGTGTGAGCCATTGTGACAGGCCCCTCTCTTACTCTTCAAAGCGAGCTCTGTTTCTTCTAAAGAACTGTACTGCTTTGTGCTAGGGTGACAGAGCACACGTTGTTCCCTGCCTGATCATCACATACAGTGTACCCGGGGGGAGAATGAGGAAAAATACTCACAGCAGCCACAACGCTGTTCTCCGAGACAAATGACACGCTCAGGAGTGGCAGGAACTCCGTCTTCAGAGTTGAGACCCTAAACACAGGAACATTTGTTATCCCAAGTTGCAACAGACTACCAGCTTCTTTACAGACACAGATGAGGACAAAAGACCCATTCTCATAGGGACTTCTACAGTATTAATGGGCACTTATGTTGAAAAGGAGCTCCTGACCTCGACTTGTAGGCCTCTTGAGCCAAGGGCAGCCCTGGGCTCTGGCTCCAGCCTGTGCTCCACCTGCTTCTGAGGTCCCGCCCACTCACGGCAAACTGGTTCCAAAACCCTTGTTCTTGTCTCTGTCTTTGTGCCCACGCCCTTCCAGCCCCAGCACAGCTCTAAAGGGATCACCCCTATGATCCCAAGGTCTACTTTTCCGGGCCACTTCAGCCTAAAGCGGCTTCTCCTTGCTCTTAGCTCCTAGGAGCTCTTCTGTTACTATGACTTGGCAGCAAACACCTGTGCTATGACCCTCTCCTTGCCTGTGCTCACTGGAGCTCCGAGAGGGCTGTGACCATACAGATCTGTGCTGACAGCCAGGCACTGTGTTAGGAGCTAGAGCTACCAAGATCAACCAAACGCAGTCTGAGCCAGAAATTCAAATGGGCCGTGTGTGTATGTGTGGGTGCGTGCAGGGATGTATGTGTGCATATAGTTATTTGCTCCTGAATCTGGCTAAGAGGTTACATAGATATGGCAAGCAAACACACTGATTGAGGAGTTAGGAGCACCTTACTTCATGCAAGAAATGATGCATTCAAAAGCTAACTGTGGCTGGGCATGGTGGCTCACACCTGTAATCTCAGCACTTTAAGGGGTTGAGGCAGAAGGACTGCTGGAGGCAAGAATTTGAGATCAGCCTGGACAACACAGTGAGACCCAGTCTCTATGAAAAATTAAAAAAAAATTCGCCTAGTGTGGTGGCGCATGTCTGTGGCCCCAGCTGCTTAAGAGGCTGAGGTGACAGGAGCACTTGCGCCCAGGAGATTGAGGCTGTAAAGAGCTATGATTGAAGCACTGTACTCCAGCCTCGGCAACAGTGTGTCTCTCTAAATAAATTTTAAAAAGTAAAAGCTAACTGTGTATGTGTCAGAAGACCCTTCATAAATCTGGGATTGAACTGAAGAACTAATATGTCATGTTAAGCCCTTACTGTGGTATACCTGACTTTTACTACATGAGATATTTATGTGAGAGGAGTGGAAGGGTGGGGCATGTGATCTGACCTGCAGGACTGGAAAAGGGAAAGAAGTCAATCCGAGGGTAGACGGTAGACGGGGACTTGTAACAAGCATATGCTAAGAACCTACTGTGTCACAAGAAACCATATAAAAATTAAGTAACACTGGCATCAAAATACCGAATTATTATGAAGTATCAAAAAGCAAATTACCACACAAAATGTACAGCATAATCCCATTTCTATTAAAAATGAAAAGATATATATACATATATATATATATTTTTTTAAGACGGGGTTTCACCATGTTGGTCAGGCTGGTCTTGAACTCCCAACCTCAGGTGATCTGCCCGCCTTGGCTTCCAAAGTGCTTGGATTACAGGTGTGAGCCACCACGCCCAGCCTGAAAAGATATATAAATGCTTGTTTATGTAGAGAAATTTTCTGAGAGACTACATTTTATAATGGAGGGGATAATCTTTTTAAAAAAATTAAAAAAAAAAAAAAAAAACAACTAGCTAAAAATGCACATTTAATCCTGTTAGGAAAAACAGATCATGTCTGAACTATGATGCTTTTTAGGCTGGGAGACTCTTACTGACCTTACAGGGAATACAGGTCACCCAATGTGATTGATTTTTGATACCTAAGTGGGCACGTCCATCACAAAACCTTTAATGGTGAGTTCCCTTTAACTATCAATAGAAAAGGATTCACCAGGGAAGAACAAAGATTTAAAAAAAGAAGGATTCCAATCTTCCCTCTTCCTCCAACATACATTGAACAAAATGAACTCTGATGTCTGGCCAGGTAGCTGAGCAGACATGCCACTCACAAAGAAGCCACCATAACTGGAGTCTTTCTAGCACACAGCAGAGGAAGTGGCATCAAGGGTTCCTAAGCCTTACTGAATGGAAGCCTCAAATTAACGAAGTCATTGTTCGCTGACAACCCAGAATAAGAACGTATCTCCTATTTAAGGCCGGTAAATGGCATTTACATTTTATGAGAAATTCAGAGTAACAGACTAAACTGGCGTTTGTTTTTTTTTTTGATGGAGTCTCATTCTGTTGCCCAGGCTGGAGTACACTGGCACGATCTCGGCTCACTGAAACCTCCACTTACCGGGTTCAAGTGATTCTCCCACCTCAGCCTCCTGAGTAGCAGGGATTACAGGCGCACGCCATCATGCCCGTCTAATTTTTTGTATTTTTGTAGAGACAGGGTTTCACCATGTTGGCCAGGCTGGTCTCAAACTCCTGACCTCAGGTGATCTGCCCAAATGGGCCTCCCAAAGTTCTGGGATTATAGGTGTGAGCCACTGAGGCCAGCCTAAACTGGCCATTTTTAAGGGACCCTTATCAGTAGCAAACCAGGAGCGTTCTTCAAAGGAATCATTATCAGTACTTCCATTAAGGAGTATTTCTAGCTCTTTAAAATTTCACAACTTCAGAACTTGTTATCTGTGCCTGTCACGGTAAAGGCTGCCTTGCTGTTTTTTCTCTCTTTTTTTGAGATAGAGTTTTGCTCTTGTCTCCGAGGCTGGAGTGCAGTGGCGCAATCTCACCTCACTGCAACCTCTGCCTCCTGGGTTCAAGTGATTCTCCAGTCTCAGCCTCCCAAGAAGCTGGGATTACAGGCATATTCCACTATGCCTGGCCTAATTTTTGTATTTTTAGTAGAGACGGGGCTTCACCATGTTGGCCAGGCTGGTCTTGAACTCCTGACCTCAGGTGATCCGTCCATGGCCTCGCAAAGTGCTGGGATTACATGCGTGAGCCACCATGCCTGGGCTGCCCTGCAGTTTTGATTGAGGTTTTTATGCTTGTGCCCTGTACTAACAGCCCAGGAAGGGCAGTCCTGGTCCAGCTGGTGAGAGATCCCACCCCTTGTTCCCCACCTTCCAAATCAAAGGCAAATACTCACTGCACACTTTTTGAGGCATCAGCAACAGACACAGTGCTGTCATGGCTGACCCAGGCCAGGCGGCTCCCACTGGCAGAGAAGCTGACCCCGTGGACCCAGCCACCAGTGCCACTGCCACCAAACTCTGACATCAGCTGCCCAAAAGGCATCTTGCTACCCCAGGGCGTGCTGGCTGGCTTTTCATCCACTTCTTTAATGTAGGCAGAAAACACTCTGTTTAAAGGGCAGAGAGAAAAGAAAAAAGCAAATGAGAATATATGTATAGAGAAACAGGCCACAAGCAGCTGCTGCAAGGAATCTCAGAATACAAAGAGGCTGACTCATTAAAAAAAAGAAAACCTGGGCTGGACATAGGGGCTCACACCTGTAATCCCAGCACTTTGGGAGGCCAAGGTGGGCGGAACACCTGAGGTCGGGAATTCAAGACCAGCCTGACCAACATGGGTTAGAAACCCCACCTCTACTAAAAATACAAAATAAGCCAGTGTGGTGGGGCATGCCTGTAATCCCAGCTACTCGGGACACTGAGGCAGGACAATCACTTGAACCCAGAAGGTGGAGGTTACAGTGAGCTGAGATCGCACCACTGCACTCTAGCCTGGGCAACAAGAGCAAAACTCTGTCTCAAAAATAAATAAATGGCCAGGCATGGTGGCTCAAGCCTGTAATCCCAGCACTCTGGAAGGCTGAGGTGGGTGGATCACCTGAGAGATTGGGAGTTCCAGACCATCCTGACCAACACGGAGAAACCCCGTCTCTACTGAAAACATAATATTAGCTGGGTGTGGTGGCACACGCCTGTGATCCCAGCTACTCGGGAGGCTGAGGCAGAAGAACTGCCTAAGCCCAGGAGGCAGAGGCCGTGGTGAGCTGAGACTGCACTATTCATTGCACTCCAGCCTGGGCTAAAAAAGTGAAACCTGGTCTGAAAAAAAAAAAAAAAAAAACAAAGAAAAGAAAAGAAAAAAATAAAACATGATGGGTAAGTTCAGGTACACAAACCTTTGAAATCACAGAATTATTGTTAGGGGGATCTACAGGCCAACCCAAGTTTGGCAAATCCATATTTTAGTTTTTTTGCTTTTTTCCCCTACTCTTGTCACCCAGGCTGGAGTGCAATAGTGTGATCTTGGCTCGTTGCAACCTCTGCCTCCTGAGTTGAAGCGATTCTCCTGCCTCACCCTCCCAAGTAGCTGGGATTATAGGCATGTGCCATCACACCTGGCAAATTTTGTATTTTTAGTAGAGACGGGTTTTCACTCAGGAAGCAGAGGCAAGAGAATCCCTTGTACCCGGGACGCGGTGGTTGCAGTAAGCCTAGGTCGCACCACTGCACTCTAGCCTGGCGACAGAGCAAGACTCCGTCTCAAAAAAATAAAAATAAAAATAAAAATAAAATACAACAAAAACAAAAAGAAAAACAAACAAAAAAGAGACGGGGTTTCATCTTGTTGACCAGGCTGTTCTCAAACTCCTGACCTCAGGTGACCCACTCACCTCGGCCTCCCAAAGTGCTGGGATTACAAGTGTGAGCCACAATGCCTGACTCCCCACACAGCTCACTGAGCCGAGACCATGCCACTGCACTCCAGTGTGGGTGACAGAGCAAGACTGTCTCAAAAAACAACACAAAACAAAAAAACCCCACAGGACTCTGAGTCAAAGAAACAGTCCCGGAAGTTAATATTAACAAAATAACTGCAACCTATTTTCACAACCATTAAAGAATCCAGGTGGTGTGGGTTAGTGACACCTAGTTCTATTTTCCAAGGGAGCTCTATTTTACAGTGACTCTGGTTAAGAAATCACAAGCAACATAGGTCCAGAATATAAAGTGCCTTGACACTACCATTACCTCATCCTCTCAGCCAAACTCAAACACACATCTCTCTCTTTTCTTTTAAAGCTTTGAGTATTCCTGGATATAAACCACTAGCCTGGTTTTCTGGGAATTCTCCATAGTTACTGAACAAAGTGCATCCCAGCTGAGTGCAGTGGCTCATCCCTGTAAACCTAGCACTTCGGGAAGCCAAGGCAGAAGGATCCTTTGAGCCCAGGAGTTTGAGACCAGCCTGGGCAACATAGCGAGACCCCACCTCCACAAGAAATGGACAAAATCAGCCAGGCATGGTGGCTCATGCCTGTGGTCCCAGCTACTCAGGAGGCTGAGGTGGGAGGATTGCTTGAGTCTGGGAGGTGGAGGCTATAGGGAGCTATGATTGCACCACTGCACTTAAGCCTGGGTGACAGAGCAAGACCTTGTCTCAAGAAAAAAAAAAGGTGCACCTCCATCTCCCAATCTACCATGTAGTCAACATGAAGCAACATTTATTTGCTTTGCTTTGCTTTCAGCTAAGGGGAAAAAAGGCTTGTTGATAAAGAACAACTTAAAAAGCAATTACATGGAATTACATGGTATGATGCTTAAAGCTGTTAGCAAAGTGGCTGCATTTCTTCTAGCTTCATGCTAACGACAAAATAAAAAGCTTTAACTGAAAAGAAGCACAGTAACAGCTCGGCAGCACACTGTTTAGCTATGTTTTATTAATCTTAGTTTCACTGTGGAATTTGCAAAGACTGCTGCCTGGAATATGAAATGAGAAAAATACTGTAGTCAAGAAAGACAGGGAGAAAGGCAGAGAGAAAAAGAGATGGTGAGAAAGAGACAGAGACAGAGAGGGCACATGCTAATCCTCCCCTCTAAACCATAGACATTCTTACACTTAGGGAAATCTTTGCCGGCCCCACCCTTACCTCTCCCTCCTACCCCACTTCCAAGTTGATTTCTTTCTACCTCAGCGACTTAGGCACTTGTTCTTTTAATCACCATGCGTGAGCTCCTTTTTTAGATCAGAAGCTGCTTCCATTTTTTTTTTTTTTTTTCTGAGATGGAGTCTTGCTCTGTCACCCAGGATGGAGTGCAGTGGTGCGATTTCAGCTCACTGGAACCTCCACCTACCAGGTTCAAATGATGCTCACGCCTCAGCCTCCCACGTAGCTGGGATTACAGGTGTGCACCAATACACCAGGCTAACTTTTGTATTTTTAGTAGAGACTGAGTTTCACCATGTTGGCCAGGTTGGTCTCTAACTTCTAACTTCAGGTGATCCACCCACCTTGGTCTCCCAAAGTGCTGGGACTGCAGGTGTGAGCCACGGGACCAGCCTCATTTTTGAGTCCCTTACAGTGCCTAGCAAAGAAAAGGAACCTTACAGGCCAGGCACATTGGCTCATGCCTGTAATCCCAGCACTCTAGGAGGCCAAGGAGGGAGAATCAGTTGAGACCAGGAATTCAAGTCCAAGCTGGGCAACATAGCAAGACCCTGACTCTACAAAGAATAAAAACAAATTTTTAAAAATTAGCCAGGTGTGGTAGCATATGCCTGGAGTCTCAGCTACTCTGGAGGCTAGGCTGGAGGACTGCCTGAGCCCAGGAGTTGGTGGCTGCAGTGAGCTATGATGGTGCCACTGCACTCCAGCCTGTGTGAGAGTGAGACCCTGTCTCCAAAAAAAAAAAGAAAAGTATAAAAAAAGAAAGGGAACCTTATAAATATGAAGGATGAACAATGTGCAGCTCAAGTCTATCAGTTCTCATTGGTTCCCACCTGCATTTGAAGTCACATGATCCTGCTGCCAGCAAAACGTTGTTGGGATGCCAATCCAAGCTGAGGACTGTGGAGCGAATCGGTTTTTTAATGTGCTTGCTCACCCACCTATGAGAGGGGAAAACTGTTTCAGTTTATCCACTCAATGAGCATCCCCAAATGACCTACAAATGTATGTCAGATGAAAACACTTAAGCATGCCACTCTTTTCCTTAATTAAAAAAAAAAAAAAAACAATTCAGTATATTATCTTTTCCAGAATGGTTTCTAAGAAAAAGATTCTATAGAAAAGTAACTGAACATTCAACATTCTTCTGTCAGTCACCAGCCCTCCTGCCAGAGACAAGGCACATTTATTTTTTGAGACCAGATTATAAGACTGGCTAATTTTTGTATTTTTTGTAGAGATGGGATTTCTCCATGTTGGCCAGGTTAGTCTCAAACTCCTGGGCTCAAGTGATCCACCAGCCTCAGCCTCCCAAAGTGCTGGGATTACAGGCATGAGCCACTGCGCCCGCTGACAAGGTGCATTTCTAAAGGACAGAAAAGAAAAGAACCATGAACAGGCCCTTCTCCACTCCTGGCCTTGACATTCTCAGAATAGTTGGTTTTCAGGGGTCCGCATTAGTAAGCATAGATATTGACTAACTCAGTCCTTTGTCATGAGATTCGGGATTACATATGGTGTTAACCTCTGAGATAAAAACTGGATTTTGAAATTGCTTCAGTTTTTACTATGAATATTCACTCGTTTGCTGTTCCATTTTTTGTTAATTTGGGGTTGTAAGACAGCTTAATAGCCTTCACAAGCCTCTAGGAATCTGCAAATTCTTTTTAATTTCTTTCACTGAGAAATCACAGCCAAGAAATCAGAAGAACCTCACATAGGGCATTAGCCTCTAATTCTCTAGCACCATTCAAAAAAGATGATTTATGTCTATGACCAGTCAGTACTTTGGCTTAACCTAATTCAATTTCTGCCCCCAAACTGCTGTTTAAAAACCAATCATGTCTGGTTGCTCAACAGCTGACAGACTAAATATTGTGCCAAATGCCTTTCCTTGAATGCTAAATTACCTTTCTACAGAATAACTTTATTTATTTATTTTTTATTTTTACTTTTTTGAGACAGAGTCTCACTCTGTCATCCAGCCCGGAGTGCAGTGGCACGATCTTGGCTTACTACAACCTCCACCTCCTGGGTTCAAGTGAGTCTCGTGCCTCAGCCTCCCGAGTAGCTGGGATTACAGGCTTGTACCACCATGCCTGGCTAATCTTTGTACGTTTAGAAGAGATGAGGTTTCACCATGTTGGCCAGGCTGGTCTCAAACTCCTGGTCTCAAGCAATCTGTCCCCCTTAGCCTCCCAAAGTGGTAGGATTACAGTCATTAGCCACCATGCCTGGCTATAGAATCGGTTTCTTAGAAACCTATCTAAAAAAGTTCATTCTGAAAAAGACAGCCAGGTGCAGCGACTTACACCTATAAACCCAGCACCTTGGGAGACCAAGGCAGGAGGACTGCTTGAGTACAGGAATTTGAGATCATTCTGGGCAACAAAGTAAGACCCTGTCTCCACAAAAAATCAAAAAATTAGCCAGGTGTGGTGGTGCAAACCTGTAGTCCCAACTACCTGGGAGGTTGAGGTGGCAGGACTGCTGGATCCCAGGAGTCAGAGACTGCAATGAGCCGTGTTTGTTCCACTGCACTCCAGCCTGGGTGACAGAGAGAAACCCTGTCTCAAAAAATAAATAAATAGGCTGGGTGTGGTGGCTCATGCCTATAATCCCAGCACTTTCGGAGGCAGGGGGATCATGAGGTCTGGAGATCAAGACCATCCTGACCAATAAGATGAAACCTTGTCTCTATTAAAATACAAAAAATTAGCCAGGTGTGGCGTGGTGGTGTACACCTGTAGTCCCAGCTACCTGGGAGGCTGAGGCAGGAAAATCACTTGAACCCGGCAGGCGGAGATTGCAGTGAGCTAAGCTCATCACGCCACTGCACTTCGGCCTGGCAACAGAGTGAGACTCCATCTCATAAATAAATAAATAGGCCAGGCGCAGTGGCGCACGCCTGTAATCCTAGCACTC